AGTTTGGATTCCCCTTTAGTGTTCTAAGCAATCTAGTAAGATATTCCATGGCAAGTACAAATAAATATGGGAATAATGGATCACCCCGCCTGAGCCCCTTTTTGCCTCAAATGATTGTGTTGGATTTCCATTTATAACAATTGAATAGGAAACTTTTCTGATGCAGCTGCTAACCCATTTGATGAACCTTTCTGGAAAATTCATACTTGACAAGATCTGCTCCAGAAAAACCCATTCCAATGAGTCATAAGATTTTTACATATTCACTTTGATCACAATACTTTGTGACACTCCTTTTCTCTCGTATCCTTTAATGATTTCATCGCTTATAACCACATTATCATGTATCACCCTTCCATGAACAAAAGCATTTTGGGTGCAATCCACTAGGGAATCCATGAGTTGTTGTAGTTTGTTGGTAATCATTTTGGAGATGATTTTGTACAATGTTGTGCAGCAGGAGATTGGTCAATATTCTTTGATAGAGACAAGGTTCTTTACCTTAGGTATCAATGTTACTGAAGTCCAGCTTATAGGTCTATACATATCAGCTGTTTCAAAGTATCTAAGTACTTCAATTGTTACCTCCTCTCCCAGTATGTGCCATGTTTTCTTAAAGAATGTTGAGTTAAAACCATCACATTCTTGGGCTTTCAATGTGTTTATCCCTTCTGGTGCTTGATATACTTCTTTATTTGTGAATGGACTTACTAATTGAAGCTGTTGGGCTCTGTTCAGTTTTGGCCCTTCCTTCATGATGTTTGGGTTGATGCCAAGTAAGCAATTCTGGCTTGAGTCTAGTAGGCCTTTGTATAAGCCAATTATATCTTATTTGATCTCCTCTGGCTTTTGCAATAACCTTCATGTTGTGGATTTAAGCTGCTTCATATAATTTTGTGCTCTTCTCCCTTCATGTTAGCATAGAAATATGCTGTATTGGAATCACCCAGCTTGAGCCATTTGACCCTTGACTTTTGCCTATAAATGCTTTCTTCTATTATACTCCACTTTTCAAGTTGCTTCTTTAGTTCCTTATCCCCCTCATACTTTCCCGTAGAGTGGCTGATATCCCTCATTTGTGCTTGCAATTTGTTTAGCTTGTCCCTAATATTCTGAATTTTGTTCCACACTCCTATAAACTCCTCACTGTTTAATCTATTCAGGGCTCATTTAACAATCTTCACCTTTAACCATATGCCCATCATGCTTTGTGTAGACCTTTGACTTGACCAGCCGCTTTTAACTATGTCTGCAAACTTAGGATGGTTTGCTAGACAATTCAGAAATCTAAAACAAAGGAGGCATGGATCCTTGATATGGACTTGCAGAGGAGGCATGGCATTCATCCACTGTGCATTTACTAATGCTTTGTCTATCTTACTATAAACATGGCCATTGGTCCATGTAAATGTTCTTCGAGTAGTTTGAAGTTCTGCAACCCACACTCTTCTGTGAACCTTCTAAAATCCCTGGTTTCATATTATTGTACCTCATTTCCTTGTGATCTATCCTTCACATATATAATTGAATTAAAGTCCCCCATTATCAACCAAGGGTGGATCATTAGCTCCTCTATTTCCTTTAGTTTCCTCCATAGTTCCCTCCTAGCCGGGATATTATACAACTCATACACTGCTAAAAAGTGAATGATTATATTAGTATGTCCATGCTGTATTATCCCATGAATGAGCTGATCATGGATCTCCATGACTATAAATTTGACTTCAGTAGCGACCCATATTATCCATATACAATCTCTAGTTGTATTAGATCCGTTGGTACACCATTCCCAGCCATAAGCTATTTTGTTTACTATCTTGGCAACCTTATTGCTATTAACTCTATGCTCTGAGATAGCTATTAAGTTTACTTTATTCTCCTTTAAAAACTCCTTCAACTCCTTTTGTTTGTATATTTTGTTTATTCCCCTAACATTCTATGTGACGATCTTCATGTGGAATGTTGAGATGGTTGGGGTCTTCATTCATTCTTACCACAACTACATTGCCCTTTATTATCTATTTCCCTTTGTGTGTTTGTGCATTAGTTTCTGATTAGTGGACCAAAATCATTGTTTGTAGGCACCCCGACTTGTTGCTATACTAACATTTTTATTGCCTTTGTTTGCAGACCTCATTCTTGCTTTTTGTCATCCTTCATCATCCTTGGGATCATGCTGTTGAGTTGGTCCAATACCCATTCCAATCCCCTATTTCTCCACTACCACCTGAGTCTATGATTTTTTGGTCTGCCATATCCATTGCTTGGTCTAATTCTTCTCTCTTGGCTTTTGGGTTTTTTCCTTTCTTGTCCTAGGTTGTTTATTTTTTGCAAATAGCCATGTTTATAGTAATCCATCTCAATCCATCTTTTACTTGAAGGACAACAATCCATTTATACATGTTATGTCATTTCATGAAAAGTTAGATTTCAGGCAATGGAAGGCAGCTTGATTGTCACATATTAGCTTCACTTGTTTGACTTCACTTCACCATAATTATTGGAGAAATTGTTTCTACTATATTAGCTTACAAGTTATAATTACCATCACTATATTTCTACACAATATCTAGTGGATAACGTTTCTCTTATCTCATTGAGAACTTGTTTAATTCGCATAAGAATATCCAACAATGTATGTGTTGATGGTCTCATATTTACCTTAGGGAATACGTTGTTGTTTCCTTATATGATCTTAGGTTAAGTTAGGCTTAAGGTTCATTTCATTAACATATGTTAGAGACAGATACACTCAAGCGTTGGGTTTTATTTAATAAGATAAAGAGGTTTGAATGAAAATGGAGGGAAAAGAATTGGAGGGAAATGAAAAACTTGAAATGTTCCTTTTGTTAAGGCATTTTGTTATGCTTATATAGAGAAGCATATCTTCTACCTCTTAAAAAGTTGAGAAGAATTGGTGCCTCGCGTCATTGCGCTCGCTCGGCTTTAGATTTGGATTTGGTCAAATGATCTAATTGATTGATATATTTTTTGGACCAAATTTATTAATTTCCTTTTTCCTATAATTACTCATGCAAATTTTTAAAAGTAAAATTTGCGGTATAAATTTATTTTAATTTTTTCCAAACGTCAAATTTGCGACCAAACAATTCACTTAACATAAACTTGATTAATTTATGTCAAAAAAAATACCTTGTCAAACGAACAGGTATCTTGGCACATGTTGAACCCAAACCATTGGCTATAAATGCGGAGGGCTAGCCTAATTTTTCATACACTAAACATCGAAAAATCTGCATATATTTTCTCCTCTTTTCTATGCATTTATGCATAGTTTTCAAATGAAAAAGTAAGTGTCTAGTGTGATTTCCAGCCGTTTGTTAAGTTCACTGTAATTTATATTGCCGATACTACAAAATACTTGTTCCATTTTATCCTAGGAGAAATTAATCCGAAAATTTTGAGAAACAACGAGGGGATTAAATTCTTTAAAAAAACACAACTTTCTGTAAGTCTTGGAACTTTATTTTTTTCGATTCAGTTTCTAATTTGTTCATCTAACTTTTTTAGTTTCTGATTGTGAACACAAATTACTAATATCAAGTTCTTGGTACTAATCTTGGGCCCAAGTGTTCCACGCTGATTGTATTTTTTTATAGAGAAATTTTCATAAAACACTATCTTTTAGTAGTAATTAGCCATCTATAGATACCATTTTCTATATTACGGATTATAGATACCTTTTTTTGTGGTTATAAGATGTATTTAAGCTATTGTATTCATGAATACAGTAGCAAAAATAGGCGTGAATCAGGGAAGTCCAGCTAATCAGTTGTTGTATTCGAGTGTATTCGATTGCATTCATGGAGTGAAATATGAGATTACAGCTGGACAAATTTTTGTATTCGACTGTATTCACGGCGTGAAATAGGGGATTACACTATTTTTAAAACGGAAAGTGAATCAATTAACATACTAGACTCCTAATATAATTCCGGTAAGAACTCAAGTTTTAACTTTGGTATAACTCATGCAACATTTTCAACTTTCTATATAACTTATTTAGCATTTACGTGTTCTGGAAAATATGAAGTTCATTAAAAGCTACTTAAAATCTGTAAAATATTATGCATAATGTTAAAAATATTCCTTGCCCTGTTTAGAGCAATATATTTTGATCCCTGCCATTAGGGGTGTCAATGGATATTCGAAAACCGACTAAACCGTACCGCACCGAACCAATTTTTAGGTTTCTTTTTAAGAAACTGTAGGTTTTTATATAAATCTATAACCGCACCGATAACTAGGGTAGGTTTTTTACCGAATAAATTTTACATGTAGAAAATATATTTATTTATTAAGTTTAAAAATAATAATGTATTAAATTTTCTTTGAGCCTTGTAATTATGAAAACTATTACAAACCAACAAGTAATTAAACTCAAAATACTAATTCCTAAAACCTATTATGCTACTTCTACTTAAACTAAGTTATTTCAAATATCTTTATTAGCAAGACACAAAGTATTCTAGCGATTATGAGTAGCAAACTACAATGTATTGAATATGTTTCCTTTCATATAATTTAGATTTATCTTTTTGAATATTTAATCTTCTATAGACTTTATTCTTGAGTCTCAGCTTTGTATATCTTTCAACTCGTGTGATTAATATTTTCTTTGCCTTTGTTTGATTTCTTTTACGCTGTTGTAGAATAGTTGATGGATCTAAACTCTAGCCATCTTTTTTTTTAATTCATCACCCTTTAAACAGTAAAAATGTCTAGAGAGTTTTGCTAAGTACTATAAAAGAACGTATGTTATTGTAATTCTACTTCTACTGGTGAATTTTACATGATATTAAAAACAATACCGAAAATTAACCGAACCATACCGATACCGAAGAGAAACCGACATGATTGAGACGGTTTTGAAAAGTCTAATTTTGGTTATACATAATAGAATAACCGAAAAATTGGTATGGTACAAATTTTATAAAATAACCAGCCGAACCGAACCATTGACACCCCTACCTGCCATTTCTTCTTCTCACTCAAACCTCCTTGATTAATTTGTGAAGCTCTCATAATGACATTGAACTAAGTACTTTGTGAGTTGAACATTTATTTTCTGTGCAGGTGGCTAAAAGTGTAAAGATTGTGATGGCATCTCGATTAGCATCAATTGCTATTACGCTAGATATGGAGACAATTCAGGTGTCACAACTGTGTATTGATGCTTATATTGTCAAGCAGCCGATTTTGCAGACCCCAAAAATAAAATTGAAAGAACAGGTGAGAAAGGTTGTGTTTCTGGTTCGGCTGCTTATCTATTAATTATATCTTATTGGGGAAAATTCCTATTTTCTGCAGCAAGTAAAAGTTTTGAACCCCAGGAAGCTAGAAGTTTTTCCTCAGGCTAATAAAGATAAACTGCATTTTGAACTTCACCGGTTGAAAAATAAGCTTCCTTTTGTTGTTGTGAAGGTATGACAATTATCAACACTAAAATCAAACTAAATTTGTGGGTTTTTGTCCGAACTACTCTGTTCACTTCAACTTGTAAATCTTGTCGGGATGTCAGGGTATTACTACGGTTCAAAGAGCTGTGGTGAACAAAGAACAAGAAAGAGATCGTAAGAGCGATGTCAAAGGAGAAACATATGAGTTGCTTGTTGAAGGGTAAGTTTTATGTACGGCTTCCGCA